TATATATATATAGATATAGATATAGCAATTATACTGTACTCTAATCCTAATTTACAATGTTATTAGATTTTCAAAAAAGAAAAAGAAAAAGAAAAAGAAAAAAAGAAATTAATCATATCATTCAAAAATGCAATATAATTGTTAATTGAAAATAATATGTCAGATTGCCCATCGTTATCTCATAATAGTAAAATTCGTTTGTTCAATGCAAACAAGACTCCATAAAATGGTTACAAATGGTTGGACGAATAGATAGATAGATAGATAGATAGATAAATAGATAAAAATTCTGTGATAAAGAGAAAGAGAGAGAGAGAGAAAGATATATATATATAAAAAATCAGAGATCATTTTATATAAACCATATTGAAAATTCAGTACCAAATATTATTTATGTGAATCTCATCTAACCAATGATGAGAGAAAGAGCTCGCAATTCTCCGGTTTTTGGTTTGTTTGTTTGTTTCTTTTTATATTTATTTATTTAAAGGATTATATTTGTAGATTAAAAATTGAAGATGACAAATGGGAGAAACGAAAGGAAAAAAAAGACAAACCAAAAGTTGTTACATCTCGTTTTGAGAAAAAGCAAAAAATAAAAAGAAAAAATATAGAAGAAGATGAGATTTATCTGAGGCAGCGCAACCATTTTGGTACGAGGGCTGCGCACCTCAAGTAATCTCAAATGGATCCGCTACTGTCACCAGGAAACACCATCATATTTTCTGCACCATAGGATGGGGTCGGTGAACTTCTTGCATCCAACGATGCTCTGCTTGCCGAACTAAAACTACTCGAGCTTAAATCTTCGTAACTTGCGACAGATTGGCTCCCACCTGGAAAAATAAGAAACAAATATTTGTCGTTAATTTATTTTCTAACGTATTCTTTTTCTTTTTTCTTTCTTTTTTTTTTTTCTTTTTCCTGTTTGTTTTTTTTTTGTTCTCTCTTTTTTTTTTTTTTTTAAACTCTTTATTAATTTCAAAAACATAACTACTTAACGTACCTACACGTCTCATATATCGCTTTAATATCAATTGTGAAATGATTTATTATCTAAGAAAAATTTCCCATAACTTTTTCTCTAAGAAGAAGCCTTTTCGAAAGTAAGAAGTATCTCGCTCACATTATTTGCCGTTAAGAAATATCTATAAAATAAAAACAAAAGAAAAGAAAAAATATTATACAAAATGAATCAAGCAAAATAATAATAATAATAATAATAATGATAATAAAATAAAAATAAAGAAAGAATGAAATAATTTCATCGAAATCCCCTTCCACCATGGTTTTTAGTTTTTTTTATTTACTAATTGAGTTATATTTTGTGTGTGTACGATACCAATTAATTATTTAA